CTCCCCGTTTCTACTTCAAGCTTATGGTTACTAATTCTTAATTTTGTAAGCGTCACTCTGTGCTTAATATTGGTGACTTGACTTAAATATTCTTCAAAGTTATAATCCGTTTTGAACTGACGAAAGACTCTGAGTTTATTTTTATGTCTGTCGTCTTTCCTTTCATCATTGTGGAGATTACTCCATAAAATTTGCCTAGCATATCCGATACTTTCCCACTGGGCCCTCCCCTCCCTCCCCTCCTTCCCCTCCCTCCCCTCCCTCCCTGGAACTGACCGAATCAAGCGATAATTCGTTCAGTTACACAATCAGAAGAGAAAAACCAAGCGGGAAAAAATAATCCATCAAAGTCTTTCTTTATCGATGACCTTGTTTATCTAAATTCATTGATGTATAGTTTTTGTCGTAAAATAAAGTTTCAGATTAATGCTGACTGAAAGTCTTTGGGTCCCGAAGTTCAGCAGATCAACGTCCAAAGTAAGGGATAAAAATAATGAAAAACAAAAATCTGACGTTGCCTTCACTCATAAGATTATATCCTCTATTTTATAGATTTATATTTTTCTCTATTTAGATTCCCCTATAGCTTTTGATTCCATCAACCACAATAAGTTGTTGTTCAAGCTGAGGTTATACGGGGTAGATGGTGCATTGTAGGATTAGTTTTTTGACTACCTCAGAAATCGCAGGAGACGTGTCGTTTCCAATTCCCGCTGGACGACTGTGGTCTCTGGGGTTCCTCGGGGTAGCCTCCTGGGACCGATCCTTTTTCTTGTCTATATCAACGATCTGCCCAGTGTAACCTAGTGTGGCTAGGACTAAGTCAGTTTTGTTTGCTGACGATACTCAGTGAGTGTTATCGCACGCAGCAATCTCTGCAAGATCACTTGGTCCTCCAGCATGACCTTAACGGCTTGGTTAGCTGGAGTGTCGACTGGGACGTTAATAACACCACCAAATGCAGGGTTCGCAAAATGTCTAGAAGACGTAATCCAACGTCTCGTACTTACACCACTGTCTTCGAATTCAACGCCTTAAAGAGAGAGTCGCTCCCAAAAAGACTTGGGGATCATTACTTCACATGACTTAGGCTGGCATAACCACGTAGTTTACGTTATTGCTAAATCCAGTAAGGTTCTGGGTTTCCGTAGACACAATAGTTCTTATTCTGTAGGGGTTTCTCTCAGACTTCAGCTTTATATTACGCTCGTGCGTTCAATCCTTTTTTATGGCAGTCAGGTTTGGGCACCGTAATCAAGCTCACCACAGGTAGCCCAAGCTTGGTTTCTGTGGTGTCCTGTTATAAGGATATGTATGGGGAATCATCAAAAATTTCAATAAAATCATCAAAACGTGAAATAAAGCCTCGA